CCATTCCTTCCCTTGGGTGCTGCCTGGAGGCCGTTCTGCAATGGAAGCAGTCGAATCAACTAAGGTTGAACCCAGACAAGACAGAGGTTCTGCGGGAGGGTGCCCCTGATGTCAGTGGTTTGGGGAATTCCCTCTCTTATGTGAGGGTGATTCTCACCACAAAGAAATTGGTTCGCAGTCTGGGGATCCATCTTGACCTGGCACTTACCATGGAGACCCAAGTAGTGTCCATGGTTCGTTCTACCCATTTACATCTTCAGCGGATAACCCAGCTGCATCCCTATCTAGACGTGGGGGGCACTCACCATGCTGGTCCATGTGCTCATAGTCTCAAAAATAGACTACTGCAATGCTCTGTACGTGGGGTTTCCTTTGATGTGGATGCTCCAAATGGTCCAGAAAACGGCGGCCAAGCTATTAACAGGGGTGAAATGATTTAGTTTCCTTTGATGCGGATGCTCCAAATGGTCCAGAAAACGGCAGCCAAGCTATTAACAGGGGTGAAATGATTTCACCATATTTCCCCCACCATGGCCACCTTACACTGTCTACCTATCCACTTCCACATTGATTTCAAGGTGCTAACCATTACATACAAAGCCCTTAATGGTTCAGGCCTTTGATACCTGGCAGAGTGCCTTCTTCCACCCAGTTCTACCCGTATCACCTGCTCCAGTCAGGCTGGGTGGCTGAGGGGCCTAACGCCAAGAGAGGCCTGATGGGAAAAAACTAGAAATCGGGCCTTCTCGGTGGAGGCCCCTTGCCTTTGGAACATCTTACCTGTAGAGATCTGCCTGGCTCCCTTGCTGAGGGCCTTCAAGACTAACTTGAAGACGTGGCTATACAGGCAGGTGTTCCCTACAGCCGTTACCTAGCCGATCTCCCCTTTTCTTGTTTCTCTCTCTTTCTTTCTTTTTTTTTCTTCTTTTCTTCCTATCCCATCTTGGACTCTGTGATTAATCTGGACTTTACCTTAGTTTATTTTTATGTTATATGTAAACTGCCCAGAGTAGACATGTTCTAGATGGGCGGTATATAAATCTAATAAATAAATAATTTTGTGGCATGTTTGCTAACAAATATTTGTAGGTTGGAGGCTGACCATTATAAATGATAAAATAATCTCACCATCATTCTATATATTCTGTTGCAAACATGGAAAGGAGTGAATGCAGCTGAACTCAACAGACAGAAATGGAGCATTTACGTAGCCTCCTAATTATCTGTCATCTACCGCTGGCAACCATGATTAATGTCTGTGTAAATGATTCTACAAGACAGTAGAACTGCCATAGATGTAAGCACATGACATGAAAGTAATTATGGGAGGAGTTAGTTGAGGGAAGTACTAATTTAAACGAGATACAGCAGTATTTTCTCTTTCCTGAGGCTGGAATTACCTGAAGACCAGCGCCTCTGATTCCACACTCCAGCACCTGCACATAGGGCATGAGTGTGTGAGGGGAAACATGGAATACAGTGATGTCACACCTCCGAACCTCAGCAGAAGACAAAAGTAGAAACAGTGAAGGGAAACGGAATGGGACAGAAGGAGCAAACAAGACAGTACAACTCAAATGAAATAAGGAAGAAGACAGCAGAAGATGGATGAGGGAAGAGAGCAAACAGCAGAGGGGGGCAGAAGTACCAAGCAAGGTGGCAGATGATGGAGAGGGAGGCGAGAGGAGGGTGTAATTGAAGCTGACTTTTCTAAACCACAGATACACAGCTGTCAGTTCATTACATCTGCCTGTGTTCTATACCAAAAGTGCAGACATGGTTTGAAAACTAAGTTCAGTAAATACAGCTCTCCATAAAGCAAAAAAATAAGAATTTTAAAGTGCTCAGCCGTTTCATGATCAACTTTAATCAAAGATTTTATGATCTCAAGCTTGTAGATATTATTTTTACAGCAAATCTCTCAACCATTTTTATCTCCAGAAATGACAAAAATGTTAGGTAGTACATTTTAAGAAATAATTAGCTCTTAGTATATCTTGATCCAAAATCTCTTCACCATTTAATTCTGTTCCTTCATTTGAACCCTGAAACAGATTTGGGGAATGGATCCTCTGTCATAATCCAAACTCTTGGAATTGAAAGAGAGCCTTCTGGGTTCTACTAACCTTGTTTTGATCTAAGGAGAGCTGTTTGAGTTCCTGTGAGTTTTGCCAAAATGTGTCTTGGAAACCTGTTCTAACAAATCTCTCACATTATTATGCTGTAAACTCCCGTATTGAATCTGGGCAATGCCTGAAACTCTATCTTGCTCCCACCCTATCCTCCAATTATATTTAGAGGGATGTCTACAAAAAATAATAATCTTGAATGTAGCAGAGTTAATTGTATGTCATTCACCATTCCATTTCACAAAAATTATAATGCATATTAACTTTTTTCCTTAGTCCAATCTCTAGCTAATGATAACAATCCAAACACCAGCTTACATCTGTATCACAAATTTCACAGTTGCCATTCTGGAAGGAAAGTATTCTGAACCAGTTAAGTCACTGACAGAATTGTTAATACAGAGGTTGAACAGAAGGGAAGCTAAATAACCTCATTTCAACAGATCCCCTAGTCATACAAATTTCTTTAGGAACAGAAATCTCTTACCAATATTGATCTCTGCAAACCTGTCCCACATAGGGGCTGAAATCAATAAAAGGAGCAGATAACCCCTTTGAGTCATCATTTGTAGATCAAAAGATGGAGAACTTTTGCGTGACGTACTGTACTATAGTTTTTCCTAAACCCAGCTTGCTCCTGCTGTAAGATGTTGTTTTCCTCTTCCTAGTCAGAAAACCTCTGAAGAAGAAGAAAATGACTAGAAATCTTACAACTAATATCCAAATTGGCTGAGAATTCTGTTGCTTAAGTTTACTATCCCTTATCATAAATGGGGAAAATTATATGCAGTTTCCACTATCTGGGAAAAAGCTCTACGATGTCGCTAACAAAGGTGCCCATTACTTTGGGTTACTCTTTAATTTTGAATGGAGGCTGGACCAGTACAATCAATAAAGATCTAATTTCCAGAATTACTTCTGAAATAGGTATGCCATGTTTTAGCAGCAATACACAGATATACCCTGTTTCCCTGAAAATAAGACTTAACCTGAAAATACGCCCTAGTATGATTTTTCAGGATGCTCATAATATAAGCCCTCCCCCAGCAATAAGCCCCAGTTAAGTGAAACCTCGCCCTCCACCATTGTGCAGCAACCAGAAGAAGATGATATGACTGTATTTGAATAAATGTAGATTGTTGTACATAAAAAAATAAAACATCCCCTGAAAATAAGCCCTAATGTGTTTTTTGTTATAAAAAATTAATATAAGACCCTTTCTTATTTTTGGGGAAACATGGTAATTAATCCCAGAACTTCCCGTCATCCCATTCCTGTTGTGTAAGATTGTTCTTTTCCCTCTGAACTGTGATAAATATTTTTTCCCCTTAAGAAGGTTCTTACACTCTCAAACAATGAAAAAAAGCTTCCAGGTTTGCATCTACCTTTCAATTAAGCACCTCCCCTGATTGTCTGTGGAGGGTCAAGGGAAGTGATATTTTTTCATTAAACCCTAATGATGATGGTTTAAATATATGACTGCTGCTCTCTCCCTCAGTTTGTGCTGTTCCATTTCTCCCTCCCCTCCTACGTCCCATCCCCTTTTTTGTTCTCACCCCACTTTCTTGTTCTCACTCCCACGGCAGGTCTTAAAGGGGAAGGATGGCTCCATCTAAGTAAAAACACGTGCAAGCATGGTCTTCCCCCCCCCCCAAATTCAAACTGTGCCACTAAATTATCCTTATACCATACAGTATCTATATGCCATTGTAGATGCCCTCTGAGTCAGACAACCTGAAATCCTTTTCTCTTACAATTGCTTCCCCCATTACATCCTTCAGGAAGAAGAACAAGCTGGGGAAATCATATATAGAGGGAGAAAAGAGCAGGGGGAAGGGATCACTTTATAATTGATCTAGGATGTTCTTGCTTACATTATGGAACTGTAGATTTGGTGAGCAAGCAGCACAAATTTATTTGTTAGATTCATATACCGCCCATCTAGAACATGTCCACTCTGGGTGGTTTACATATAACATAAAAATAAACTGAGGTAAAATCCAAATTAGTCACAAAGTCCAAGATGGGGAAAGGAAAAAAGAAGAAAAAGAAGAGAGAAAGAAAAAGGAAACGGGGAGATAGGCTAGGTAATGGCTGTAGGGAAGGCCTGCCTGTATAGCCAAGTCCTCAAGCTAGTTTTGAAGGCCTTCAGCAAGAGAGCCAGGTGTATCTCTACAGGTAAGGTGAGAGGCCACTGCTGAAATGCTACCTGATTTATGGGTAACATCCATTAAACTAATCCTGAGAACTGCCATGGAGACACATCTGGAATATGACTAATCTCTGGATATAATCATATAGACTCTGCAAATATAGAATAACTGATGTCAAATTCAGGCCTGGTTCACAGAGTGAAGTTGAGCTTTTAAGACTGTATCTGGGCTCTTGCAGCTTACATTTTTTGCATAGGAGTTCACAAGGTTAAATTGTTCTCCATAGAAAACGCAAAGGACATTAGTGTGTCAGGGAGAAAAAATTGACCTAGATAGGTACTTTTGGCCTGGCATGCTAGTTTTCCACAGCAAGTCTTGTTTTTCATAAAGAAGACAGTCCTATATGCCTCCACCCACAGCCTACAGATGTGAAGTCCAGCCACTGTTTCATCACATAACTGAGACTTAGGACTCACTTCTCCTGATACTGCAAAGGGTACATGGAATCATCCTCCCAAAGCACCAGCTAATTCTTACTCAATAGTCCCGTTGTAAAATGTTGTAACTTCGAGTTCCCTGACTCTAGTTGTGTAACAATACAGTTTGTACTGACTTGGGTTGTTTCTAAAGTACGTTATTAAATCAGTGTTTGGGCTGCAGCTCTACACTGTTTTGGTTAGCTGGACAAATAATATGTTGGAATTGTGCAACTGCTTACTTGTAAGTAGTACTATTAGCCTCTGAGGGATTGTCTTCAGCTTGCAGACAACACAACTGACATAAATAACACAGCTGGATGCTTGAAATATTTACCATCCATGTGGAGAATCTGAAAAATAAACATTAGTATCTGTGCTGAGTATGGAGTCCCAGGCAGTCTTAACAGACCAAAACAGTATCCATCCATTCTATGCTGCCCTCAGTATAGCCTCAAGAAGCCACACTGAGGACAGATTATTTGAGACTTCACAACTTACAGAAATCCACCACAGTTCTTCTACAGTGTTTTAGACAGAGTTACCTATACACATGAAACAAGAGATTACCCACCTGTAAGTCTGGTTCTTTGTGTGGTCCTCTGTGAATTCACACAAAATTGGTTCTTCTGTGCTTGTACAGAGGTTCTCCAAAGATTCCAGAGCTTTAGCACATATTTGCTAGGACCGCCCCCTCGGTATACATGCTCCGTCTCTGGTACAGAGATCCTTAGTTCCTGATGAACAGTACACCACTGTCAATAGAAGGGAGAGACAAATGTGACAGAGGGGAGGACAAGCGGGATGCGTGAATTCAGAGGACCACTCAAAGAACCAGAATTACAGGTAGGTAACCTCCTTTTTTGTCTTCATGGTTTCTGTGAATACACATAAAATGGGTGACTAGCAAGCTGACTTGTCAGAAAGTGGGCCATCATGGCAAGAGCAAAGAGAGCATGGCTCTGCCAAAGGCGACATCCCTCTTCATTTGAACATCAAGCTGATCATGGGAAGTGAATGTGGATGGCGTTGACCACATAGCAATCCTACAGATGTCTGGCATGCTGACCCCTTTCATAAAGGTTGTGGATGCAGTGAAAGCCCTGGTGGAGTGGGCTTTGCCAGGATCTGGTAGGGGCTTGTGGGCTAATTCATACAGCAATCATCATTTCTTCATCTGAAAAGAAATTGGCTGGCCTATGGTAGGGTCTTAAAAACTGATGAAGAGTCAAGATGACTTGTGGAAGGAAGAAGTTTGTCAAATGCAGAATGCAAGTGAACACCTGACATCTAGTGAGTGATGACAGTGTTCCTGAGCTGTAGAGGGCAATAGGGAAAAGGTAGGTAAAATTATGGACTGAGTTAGGTATAAAACTGGAGACAACTTTTGAAAGAAAGGTTTTGTCAAGGTACAAGGTCAATTTGTCTGGGTGGAACTGGAAGTAAGGTGGGTCCACATGAAGTGCCGCAAGCTCACTTGTCCTGTGCACAAAGGTGATGGCAAGAAGGGAGAACAATTTCAGATTTCAACACCAAGGGCTCAAAGGGTGGTTGGGTAAGATGATGTAAAATAAGCTGTAGAGACTATTGAGGAGGAGGAGGTCTGAGTCAAGGGTGCAGGTTCCAGAGACTTTTAATGAATCTTTTCAGAGTAGCATGGTGGAAGAGAGATGCTGCTTCCAAATTGGTGGGCTGATGGGGAATTATAGCAGCAATATAAACTTTGAGAGTCAAAAGAGGTAAGCCTCATCTGAAGAAATAAAGCAGGAGAGCCAGAAGAGCTTCCAAGGTGGTAGGCAAAGAAGGCAAATTGTTTGTCTGGGTAAATTTGGTAAATGTTTTCCACTTATACGAGTATAGCCTTGAGGCTCAAGGCTTTCTCAGGTGGGAGAGAACAAAGTATGGATGGTGAATTCTTCACATAGTGAGGTGGACAGTTGGGAGGTCTAGATGGGAGACTCTACCTTTGTCTTGCATCAGGTGGTGAGGTAGTATCAGGAGCCAAATAAGCTTGACGGCCCTTGACCTCAGAGTGGTAAACCACAGCTGTCAGGGCCACCATGCGACTATTAGGATTGCATTCAACCTGTCCTGTTGCAGTTTGACAATGGTCCTCTGGAGGAACAGAATGGGAGAAAGAGGTAAGGGACCCCTGGGACCAGTCTGCTTGGAGGCTGACTTAGATTGGATTTGGTCAACAGTCTTGGAGTTGAGCTGGGGGATACCATAGGGTTAGGTTCATGTCCCTGAGGCTGAGTAGCCTGAATGAAGTCTATAGTAGTTGAGCTGGAGGTTTAAGCAATCACTCCCAGAGGAAGGAAGGCTGGTTTCATTATGTTCTTGCAGGCTTGGCAAGAGTGGACTTGGTGTGCTTTTCCAAGGCAGAAAAGGCACTATGAGTGGCCATCACAAAGGGGGACTTTGTTGGGACAAGAGACCTCAATTCAAGAAGTGTTTCTTGAATTGGCCAACAGGGGCCATAAAAAGGCAGAAAAAACTGGGGGGAAATAAATGGATGAGGTGAATAATAATCAAAGTCTTTTTTTGTTTGTTTGTGTAAGAACTCGTAACAGGACAAAGAGGGGATGGTCAAATGGGCCGAAGGACACAAAAGTTGAGAATGGCTAAAAAAACCAGTGAATGGGGCTCCAGTCGTCAAGAGGAGAAACCTCAGTGGCGGCAAAAAGGAACTGAGATAGCTCTACCATGGGCTGAGCATGTATACCAAGGGGGCTATCCTAGGGAACATATGCTAGAGCTCTGGAATCTTCCGAGAACCTCTGAGCAAGTGCAAGAAGAACCCATTTTGTGTGCATTCACAGAGACCACAAAGAAGAACCCTGGAGCCTGTACATGGCCAAAGTGCCAAGCTATCTATTTCCCTTCATACACCCATAAAAAATTTTCACTTCAGATGTTATGGAAAAGAAGTAGTTGAGACACTTGAAACACACACCTTCATTTTTCCTTTCATGTAACAGTTGTAAGAAGGCATATGAACAATAATGTCAGGCATAGCTCTGCACTGCCAGCAGTAGTGTAACTGCTCTCAGCAGGGCCAGAAGTATTTGTTGCAAAATAGGTATGCCACCTTCCAGGTAGAATGTTCTTAAGCTGCTAACAAATAATAACATGATACTGAAGATAGAACACAATTGCTAGATCAGGGAATACCAAAAAAGAGCTTTGGTCTAGTTCTAACATATTCTGTCATTTCTGTTGAGTATCTCTTCCCTAAAAGCATAGGTTGAAAAGCAGGGGACTATGGGTTTAGAAAGAGGCAGATAAGAGAACAATAGAAGTCTATTAAACCTCAAAGTTTAAACAATGTGAGCAAGGTATGTAGAAAGAAACATTTTTGTTTTGTTTTCATGCTCAAGAAACATTAATAAAATTAACTGGCTATAAACTTGTTGTCTTTCACAGTAAGTGAGATGTTTAAGGAGTGTTTTTACTAGTTCCACATCCTTAGTGAATTTCCATGGCTGAGCAGGGACTTGAGCCTAACCTCATGAGTCTTAATCCATTATTCTACCCAGTACACTCTAATAGGTATCTGGGAGTGGACAGAAGAGTTAATGACATTTTTAACTTACAGAATTCACTACCAGAACATATGGCAGTAACCACTACTCTAGAGGGTATAAAAAAGAAATAGAGAATAGTCCTATAAATGCCTATTAGCCAATAACAAAAAAGAATCTCCATGTGTTAAAGCAGTTTACCTTAAGTACCAGATGTCTAGATGCCAAAGTGATGCCTTTCATATGAACCCCTAAACTGAAGCATCTGGAAACAGAATATTCTGGTGTCCATAATTCTGAGATAAGGCAACTAAAACTATACAGTATTACCTCTGTGGCCATATTACATATTAATGGTATTATAATACTTTCCCTTGCATTTTCAATTTCTTTCTACATGAATCACTCTATCTATTTTTCTTTTCACTGCCATGAAACAGTGAAGCCAAACTATACATGACATTAAATACATAGTTTGGCACTGCCAGACTTTTAAGTAGCAGCTGCTGGAAGAGTCATCAGAACTGAGACTGTAGCAAGGTTTCTAAAACTCCTTTCACCAGTCTTATAAAAAAAAGACATATACTTTTGAAGCTTCTATTTGGCACTTCTCATTAGCGCTCTCTTCATGGTCAAATGACTGTTTCATATAAAGTTCCTGTGATGGATACCCTACGTCATGCCTGTCACTCATAGCGGAAGCTCATTTGGATAAATAAATCCAGCGGTGGCAGCTAGAGAAAGAGGGAACGTCACCAGCGTGAACCCCTGGTTTGTGAGAGAATGAAACAGGGGCATGGGTGAACGTGACAGTTCCTATCAGGAACGTGTAAGAGGAAGGTGTTAGAAATGTCCCCTCCATGTCTAACATGCCCAGTGTTGATTGGGCATCACATGGCTGAGTTAAATTATAAAGGAAAGGAAAGGAAAATCACAGAATGCCACACCATGGTAAGTCATAACTGGAATAGGCCCATTGAATAAATGAGAATTTGGTGATTCAGCTCCTCCATAAGATCCACAGATTCAATGGCCCTACTTTACCAATGGATTTCAGTGCATGTGTATTTAATTTGGCTATTTGCTGATGCATTTGATGAGCTTCCCATCACACTGCAAAATCTTTTTCTTGAACATTTACTGCCACTTCAGACTACATTATATAGAGTTGAAGCTCCAAAGCATTTTACTTTGGAGCTGTTTAGATATGCTACATTTTTTTTTGTTTCACAGCCAGCCATATACCTTGCCAGGAAGCTAAGAGGGGTTTCTGATAGGGCTGGGAAAATCTGTATCTTACAGGGTACGCAAAATGTCTTGAAAATAAAATTTATTATATATTACACTTAGGCTATATACTTGAATATACGGTATATTATTTTTACTACAATCCAAAATACTTTGACGATATCAAGTAGTGGAAGATTAGTTGAATTCTTGTCTCTTAGGTAGAGTACACTGGACTTGTTCACTGCATGTTTTTCTTAGTAGCTAACCACATTTTTATTTCACATTATTCTACCTGGCGACTCCAGAATCAGCTACACTACACAGATACCAAAAGCATGCTGCTTTTTTTTTTTTTTAGTAGGACCATGACCTCCTCCTGAGTAAAAGCCTGAGGGGATCAATGTGGCCCCCCAAAAAACCCAATTTTTAAATGAAAACAACAAATACATTTTACTGTATCAAAACATATACCATATTTTTTGCTCCATAAGATGCACCTGACCTTAAGACACACCTAATTTTTAGAGGAGGAAAACATGCTGGGACATGCTCCCAGCATGGGAGGCCTCCCAGCATGGCAGTGGGAGGCTTCTGGGTGG